GGAGAGTGACCTCTGCCCTCGCCCGCGCGCAGCCCGGCACCATCGAGCAGGCGGTGGAGGAGATCCGCGTGGTGGTCCGGCCCGTGGAGGACGGCGAGATCCAGGGGGTGTGGCTGCTGACCGAGTAAGCCGGGGCTGCCCGCTCGTCCTTTGGGGGACCCAGGGGGACCCCCCTCGCGCCGGAGGGCAGGCACAGCGCTGCTGGGCCGTCCAGGCCGGGAAGTCGGGGTGCGCCTGTGACGCCCGGCGCCGCCCCGGCCGCCCTTCCGGACCGGAAGACGGGCGGGCTGGCGGTGGCTGACCCGAGCAGGCGTCTGGCCGCACCGAGACCCCTCCTCCCCTCCGCTTCCAGGGTGGATCACTGGAACAATGAGAAAGAGCGGCTGGTGCTGGTCACCGAGCAGTCCATGCTCATCTGCAAATACGACTTCATCAGTCTTCAGTGCCAGCAGGTGGTCCGCATCGCACTCAACGCTGTGGACACCATCTCCTACGGAGAATTCCAGTTTCCTCCCAAATCGCTCAACAAGTAAGTCTGTTCAGAGGACCCAGTACCCCCAGACTCCAGGACCTTAGAACGCAGCCCTTTTCAAATCAACCTCCAGGTGGTGTGTGTGTGTGTGTGTGTCTGCCATTATCTAGAAACAGAAAGGCTTCAGCTTCAAAAATCAATGGAAAGTTCCTAAAATAGAAGCAAGTGACTTCCGGGCAGTTGAATGCAGTGAAAGGAATCCTGGCACAAAAGACAGCTATTAAGCTTGTCGGAGGTCAGGATGTAGCCAATAGAGCCTAGAGTGTTAAAAGCGAACTTGGATATTGTTCAGGTGAGGGCCAAACTCTGCTTTTTATTTCCAGCCAGGAAAGGATTGCTTGTCGTGTCAAGTCCTGCTCTGGTTAATTAAAAAAAAAAAAGTAGGGCACCACTTTAATTTGTAAGTATCACCAAAGGCTAGATAAATGTGAAAACATTTCATGGCCAACTTTCAAGAGCTGACCTTTTTTGCTTTAGGAGAGTTTTTGAAATGTGAGAAAATAGTCTAATTAAACTGTACAACTTAGATTACTGAGGTGAGATATGGATGGGGAATTCAGGAAGCTAACATGAGTAAAAATGTTAACCAGTATTTAACATGGCATTAAGGAAAAGAAAAGTTACAAAAATGTCCATTTGGCTAGTCTATCAGTGATGTATTCCTATTCTTAATAATCTTATAAGGATTGTTTAGCATAACCAAAGCAATATATTTAAAAGTACAGTACTTGGGAGGTGGAGTGAGAGGATTGCCTGAGCTCAGGAGTTCAAGACCAGTCCGAGAAACATGGCGAGACCGTGTCTCTAAAGAACTAAAATAAAAGTACTCGTACTTAGAGCACTTGTTAATGGAGATCGCTGTTACTATTAATAACAAGCCAACTGGGTGTGATGGTACATGCTGGTAATCCCAGCACTTCAGGAGGCAGAGGCAGGAGGATCAGTGAAACCCAGAAGGTTAAGACTGACCTAGGCAACATAGTGAGACCTCATATCTACAAAAAATTAGCCAGGTGTGGTGGTGTGTACCTGTAGTCCAAGCAACTAGAGAGGCTGAGGCAAGAGGATCACCTGAGTTTAGGAGGTTAAGGCTGTGTGAGTGTGATTGCGCAACTGCACTTCAACCTGGGTGACAGTGAGATCCCAACTCAAAAAATAAAAAATACAAGTAAAAACCACAAGCCATTTTGACGTGAAACACCATAGGTCTTTTCTTTAGAGAGAGAATGCTTCCTGCTGTCACACCCTCACAGCTGACAAGACCATCGTAGAGTGCTGTGATGTGCCATATTAAGTCTGGCTGTTTCTTCTAATCTATCAGGCGAGAAGGTTTTGGGATTCGAATTCAGTGGGACAAGCAAAGTCGCCCTTCCTTCATAAACAGATGGAATCCCTGGTCCACAAACGTGCCCTATGCCACTTTCATAGAACACCCAATGGCTGGTGCAGATGAGAAGACAGCATCTCTGTGCCAGGTAAGACAGGCGCCATGACCACATGCCCAGCGGTGCAGAGGTGGTCCAGATCCACACTGGCCAGCACGATGGCCACATGGCTACTGAGCACTGGAAGTGTGGCTGGTGACAATGATGGCATAGACTTGTGATTTAAGACATTTGAATTGATGCTTTCTCCGTGTGGTCAGTGGCTGATGATCATAATCGCTCTGTGACCTGGCCTCTTGCTGCTTTTGATCCTCTTGGACAATGGACAAGGGCCCACATGGGCTTCAGGGAATGGGGGCAGAACTCCCCCCCCCCCGCTCCACTGCGGCGGGCTTGGCCTGGAGGCAGTTGTGTAAGGACTGAGCAGTCTTATTTGTCAGAAGCACTTGGCCCTGTAGATGGTTGGGGCTCTGCAGATCACAGGTGGGCATGGGGGCAAAGGTCAGCATCCCAGGAGAGAATGGGGCAACCCACTCAGACAAGGGACAAGGGGCTCTGCAGAGAAACCCGTGGTATCTGGAGGGATCTCAGTGCCTCCAGATGTGGGTTTTCCTAGGAGCAGATGGGTCTCGCCCGAAGGTAACGCTCCATGCTTTCTCTCTTTAAAGTTGGAAAGCTTCAAGACTCTGTTGATCCAAGCTATCAAAAAAGCCCAGAAAGAAAGCCCTTTGCCTGGACAGGGGAGCAGCCTGCTGGTCTTGGAGCGGCCCCTCCTCATCGAGACCTACGTGGGACTGATGTCCTTCATCAACAATGAGGCCAAGCTGGGCTATTCCATGACCAGAGGCAAGATTGGCTTCTAGCTGCTACGTCCTGGGAGCTCTTCTCCCCAAGAAAACCAAATTTTACACGACTGGGAGCGCTGTCCATTCCCCCACCTCACTGCTGGCTGGAGGGATGGGTGTCCTTTACCTTTAGAGATCAGCAGTTAGAATAGTCGAGTGCACTGTATCTGTTTGGTTGGATGTTGGGCTCTGCTAATATAAGCTACAGACAAAAGCAAAAAGAGCCTGTCGTGGTGCTGCTGGTGCGCTCCCTCTGCAGGCTTCATCCGGTGTTTCTCTTCGTGTGTCCACTTGCGCCTCGTGGCTCTTCTGCCCCAAGCACTCCAGCATGCTGAGACACCCCCCACCCCCCGCACACAGGTCACTTTGGCTGCCATTGACAGTTCAGTACAGGGAGGCATGTGGCGTCCTGAGTGCCTGCAGTAGCAGATGTTTACACTTGGTGTCAGATTTTGTATTCTGAAATTTCATCCCTTTTTAAGCTAATACTAAAGCACCCAGCAGACCAGCTCATCAGACAAGCGCCGTCTGCACCCATCAGCTCCTGAGCGAATCATTCTTTTGTAAATGTGTTTGACCTAAAGTCACTTTTCCTAAAATAAATCCAAGTTGTGTTAATACTTAGGGCGTCTTTCCCAGGCCTAAGAAGTTTCACAAATCTTTTTTTTTTTTTTTTTGAGTTGGAGTCTCACTCTGTCTCCCAGACTGGAGTGCAGTGGCCACTCCCGGCCACTGCAGCCTCGACCTGCTGGGCTCTGGCTATCCTTCCGCCTCAGCCCTCCGAGCAGCCGGAATCACAGGCATGCCTGACCACGCCCGGCTGATTTTTTGATTTCTTGTAGAGATGAGGTCTTGCCAAGTTGCCCAGACGGGTCTCGAACCCGCAGGCTCAGGCAATCCACTCACTTCAGCCTCCCAAAGCGCGGGATTACAGGCTGAGCCACCGAGCCCGGCTACAGAAAATCATTTTAAGCCAATTTGGTAATTTGAGAAGTCACCTTGATAGTTCTTTGCACACCTCTTTGACAACTAGGTTTGTATTGTTATATTCGTACTTAAAAGGGAATTGGGTAGTTTGCTTTTTGAAGAATGCACTTTAAAAAAAGGAACCACATTAGATCCCCACAAAGCAGCTCGAGCCTGCCATGGCTCCTACAGCCCCCATGGAGACATGGGCTCTGTTGAGGTCTCCCACTGAACGTGCCGGTCTTCTGCACTGCCATGCCCGTGTGGGGCCCAAGCGCCTGGCTGCCCGTGCATGTGGCGGGAAGCATCTGTTACTGGCTTCCCCGTGGCTCCCAGTTTCCTCCTCCTCTACAGCTCCCCCTGCTTTAGCTAATGTGTGGTGTGAACAGAAGGCTGCCTGATGCAAGGCTGCCTGGACTCACCTGGACTCTGCCTTTGCATTTGGTCTTTGTAGAGATGTTTAGAACTGATAGCTGTGGCTCCTTTTTGAAGTTACTGTTATTAAAGTAGGTGCAACAACCGAGAAAGTGCCTCTGACGTGTGTGTCTTTGAAAGCCAGCCTGTCTTGAGGCTCTAACCTGCTGGCTGGCCCTGCGTGTACCATGAGGGTTCTGAGCTGATAGACCACCACTCCCCAGGCACAGGTCTTCACAACATGACAGGTGGTGACACCAGACAGCCCAGGCTTGCGGGTCCACCCTGCACAACAGGTGCTGCTGCCAGGTACCTGCTGGAGAGACATGGGCTCACTCTGGGTGGTTTAGTGCTCCCCACATACCACAGCAGGGTAGAGACCCATGGGCACAGGATCCCAAACCTGAGTGGACACAACTCCCTGCAGAACTGGCCTGGGTCAAGGACGCGGCCTTGGCCAACTGCTCCGAGAGGAGCATACCTGAAGGTGGTGCTTCCTCAGGTACTGGGGCTTCCTTTACCACTCTCCAACACAGACTCTGCCACAGGGAGGCTGGATGTGCCCCATGGAGACCTGCCCCCATTTTCCTAAGAGCAGAGCCATGTCATGGGAGCCCAGTGGCACAGGGTCGACACAGGTGGGTTATTTTAATGTCTGTCTTCCCTAAGAATGAACCAGAAACTTGAAACTAACAACAAAACTTCCTGTGTCCTAAACATTTCAATAAAACAAGCCACAAGCAATTTTATAAATTAGCAAATATTTATTTTAAATACAAATTACAGTTTTACACCATACATATTTACAAAAGTGCTTTGCTATTAAAAAAATAGAGTCAACTAACTGTACTTGGACCCTCGCAGCTGGAGAACTTTCCGGAGAAGCCCTGTTCCGTCCTGTGCTGCAGACACAGGGTGGCTCCCACTTCCACAGGGCGCAGGCGCTACGTGTGGTCGTCCTCGCCGACCCCCTCCTCAGTCTCCAGGAAACAGAGGCAGAAGTGATCCTTACTGAGAAGGGCTAGCGAGTCCCCACTTACATGCCAGCACAGCGAAAGCACTGGAAAGTCACCTGGAGAGAGACAGACACAAAGTCACCTGGCGGAGGATTAGTGTGGGCCAGGATCGGGGAGGGTAGCCGCACATTCTGCAGTGAGCTCAGGGCTGGAGGGACTCAGGGCAGAGCCCAGCTGGAACCTGAAGCCACCTCAACTCAGGGTGGGGCTGCCTCTATCTCTTGAAGCTGAGGGTGGCGGTCTCCGTGTCAAGTGTCCACATCGGGTACTGGCCCTGAGGTTTACCGACAGCAGCTAAGAGCGAGTTTCACTTTGCACACAGATAACAGCCGCATCTAGACAGCTCGGCCTGCCCACACTCCCTGGAGCAAGCTGGTGGGCCAGGGCTCCCGGTGGCTCACCTTCCCCTGGCACCTGCACCGACACACAGCCTGCCGGGGACCACAGGTAGACCTTGCTGCCTCCTGTGCAGATGGCCAGCCGTGGCTGCTGAGGGTCCCACTGGAACAAGCGCACCGGTGACAGCTGCTCAAGCACCACAAACAGCCTCAGCTTCCGTATGTCCCACACCCAGACAGCATTGGGGACATTGTCTGAGGAGAAAAGGACAGCCCCAGCATCATCGCTGCCTGCTCCATGTAAGCCCCAACCCCTCTCTGCCACGTGGGTAGATGCTGAGACACCCGAGAGGTAGGACTGTCCCAGTCTCCATCGGGCAGTCTAGGCTTGGCAGAAGCCCATGGGTGCTCGCCACCAGGGCGGGGAGACCCCTCAGGCTTCGGGGCTGCGGTTTGCCCCGGGCCTGCTTGCTTTGCCCCGGGCCTGCTTGCTTCTCGGTCAAGAGGAAAATGTGAGGGCCAAGTGCTGGGCTCACTCCCTGTCTTGATGCCCGCCAAGATGGCACCAGCACCAAGAAGCTTCTGCGGCAGATCCTGCTGCAGCAGGAAAACGGAAGAAGGCGAGTACAGGAAAACCCCCACTCGATGCCCTCTTCCATTGCTTCTCCACAGGGGACAGAGGACATAGGAGGCCCCAGTGTCCGCAGCACTGACCGTTTCTTGTCGCCAGGAAGCTGTTGTCAGGACTGAAGGCCAGCAGCCCTATGCCGATCTTGGGGTTCGCCCTGTCGGCAACAGGCTTCAGTGTCTGCAAGGAGACTGGCATGGAGGCCACCTCGTCTAGGATGCCAAGGGGAGAACGCGCCACCATCACCTTTCAGAACATGTCCCCGCAGAAAGGGAGCCGCTGCACTTCTCGGCTCCACAGCTCAGAGGGCAGGAAGACACCATGGTGGGGAGGAGTGTGAGGGGGGTGATGAGGACTCCGTGCTGACAGCTGTGTTAACACCAACCAGGATGGGGTGTGGACACACACACAAGCGACCATCTCAGCAGCTCAAAGATCTTTGCAAACTTATTCTACTGACTTCCAGCATCTTAGTTTACAATCTGCTTCAATCTCAGCTTCAATATTCTATTCTTAGCCTTTCCACGTGTAGAGAAACCACAAACAGCCAAAAAGCCAGTGGGAAGGCCTCCTGAGTCCAGGCCGCTGCCATCCAAACATGCGCTGAGCGTGGGCCGGCAGCATGCCAGGGCCCAGCTGTGGACCCAGCATTCCTCCACCTGGAATCCCTCTGTATGTCCCCTGCATGCCTGTAGGGTGGGTGCTTTCACTGTGACCATTTTAGAGATGAGGAAACTGACAAACAAGAAACTGCCCAGAGTCACATAGCCAGGATCAGAACAAGGCCACGTGGCAAAGTCTGAGCTCTTGACCCCTTCTGCGCTTCCCCTACGGAAATTTTATTCTTCATTTAAACATATTGGCCTCGGAGTGCCGACTATCAAATCCAGATTTCCAGGGCTTAAATTCAGTCAACAGCGCAGTACCTCTGTGGTCCTACTTAGTAATTAAAACTCAAAATGGTCTCAGATGAATGGGTTGAGAGACATGTGAACTATGAAGTAGCACGGGCAAGGAAAAATCTATTTTCTAAAAAACAAAGAACATCTGAAGATTATCTGGACAAGGAGGAATCGTTTTCATTTGAAAAAAAAAAAAGAAAACGTGTTCGGGCACTGCTTACATTTGCTCTCAAAGGTAGCGCGAGGGCTGGGTGCTGCCCTGGAGGATGAGAAGGAGAGGTGGCCCAGCCCCGGTGGCAGGCTCTTCTCAACTTCCTTGTACACCACCTGGAAGACAGGGCTAGCTACCACCCAGTTCAGGACAGGGCCCCAGAAGCCGAGGAGGCCTCAAGAGGGTGCCAGAGCAAGAGCCAGGCAGGAGCCACTCAAAGCCGCATGGCCACACACGTCCACGGGATGGAGTGTGGTTACAAGAGGCCTCCATGGTAAGTACCCAAAGGGCAAAGCAGACACCCACCCCTCCCCGAGGTACTGTTCAGCCCAGACTTACAATCTTGGGGTTGCTGATAGTTGTGGGATGCCCAAACTCTGTGATCATTTTCCAAGTCACGTGATTGAGGAGGCGCACCTGTGACAAAACCACATGGGTTAACCCAGCCGGCTGGGTGGGTTTTCATACGGCCTCTCGGATCCCCACCTTCCCGTTCCCACCTTCCCGTCATAGCTCCCAACCGCTAGGAACTGACTGCTGGGGCTCCAGGCCACAGACTTGATGCCCAGGGACCACTCGTAGGCACAGAACACTGACAGCAGGCGGCCATCCAAGGAGTAGAGCAGAACCTTGTACTGCAAGAGATGTTGTTAGTTGTACAAATGTCAGGTTCATCTGGGACGCATCCCAGATGCTCATGCACATGGCAGAGCTGGCAGGAAGAAGCATGGTGGAAACTCCTCCACGGCTGTGGCGCAATGGAGGTTCTCACCTAGAACCTCTAGGGAAGGGGTGACAGCAGGCAGGAGGGGAAGCTGAGATATAATCTACTGGCTTACTGGTTCAAGGTCAGCTCGTCATGTGAAAGCAGGTGAGGCTGGCACGCTGCAGCACTCAGAGGGCAGCAGACAAACAGGGAAGCTCCTAGGTGCCAGCGTGCCCAGTCACCACCATACCTCCAAGCAGGTGTCCCACACTGCCAGTACACAGCCGTTCGGGGCCCACTCGATCCCTGCGAGATCCTGGGTGTCCGTATCAAAGTGCTTCCAGAGGGAGGAAGAAAAACAGATGGAAATCTGACATTTTCTTTCTTTTTTTTTTTTTAGTTGGAATTTCACTCTGTGGCGCAGGCTGGAGTGCAGTGGCATGCTCCCGGCCACCGCAGCCTCGACCTGCTGGGCTCTGGCGATCCTTCTGGCTCAGCCTTCCAAGTAGCTGGAACTACAGGCGCGTGCTACCATGCCCGGCTAATTTTTTTATTTATTGTAGAGATGAGGTCTCGCCAAGTTGCCCAGGCAAGTCTCGAACCCGCGGGCTCAGGCATTCCACTCATCTCAGCCTCCCAAGCGTGGGATTACAGGCTAAGCCACCGAGCCCAGCTAAATCTGACATTTTCTTAAACAATTACTGCATTTATTTTATAATGGATGCTGTAACCTGTTTAGCATTTAATTTTCTTACATAGAAACGGACAGAATGTAGATACGACTCTGTGTGTGTGTGTGTGTGTGTGTGTGTGTGTGTGTGTGTGTGTGTGTGTGTGTGTGTGTAGGCTGTTGCAGGGTCTGGCCTTGCACCCCACACATGCTAGTGTCGGTACCTAGCAGCGCCAGCAGGGCCAACAGTGCCATGCCTGCAGGAGGCACGGCTGGGCTGCGAGGTGCCTTTACTCACAGACACTCTTGCCTCCCGCCTTTCCCAGCCCGGTGAGACTCACTGTCTAAGGCCCGCCCGGACAAGAGCCTTTCTGGCATGTTCTGTGCTGCCAGCCTTCCCGAGCCTCCCACCTCACCACTGCATGGGGCTGTGGCCAAACTCCAATCTACCTCGACAGCGGTACCCTGAGTGTGAGCACGTGGGGAGTGCCTGGCCCAGGGCAGGCCCTCTGCCAAGGGGGCGTCCACGTGACCCGCTCCTGACATGGCATGGTACATGCAGATACCACCATACTCCGGAGAAGGGAAGGGACTCCCACTCATTAAGCCTGCACCAATGTCACCAGGTCTCGGCCTGCCTACTACTCAGCATGCATGACGGGAAGCGACTACCAGCAACTACCAGCACCCTTGCCCTTGGAAGCACCAAGTCCCCCTGCTCCTCCTTGTGCCAAGGCTGCCCTGGCACCAAGAGAAAGCCCCTCCAGCCCTCCCGGCCGTGGTCCACTAACCAGTGAGCCAAGCACTCACCCGCAGGAGCTGCCAGTCACTGCACACAAAAACGCTCACGAAGTCCTTGCAGTCGCGCCGCTCTGCCAGTGCCATATAGCGGCCATCCCTGGTGAAGGAGAGTCCTGCAGGGAGGAGCCGAGGGGGGAGGTGCAGGAGTATGGAGGGTAGCGCGAGGAGGGCGGAGCCAAAAAGAGGGGAAGGGCACGGGCGCAGAGCACCGTTCTCCAGACAGATGAGAACGTTCTTTGCCGAGAAGCCGTGAGAACCGTGGTTTCACCCCTCAGAGCACCAAGCGACGTGACCCTCGAGGAAGCACGAGACACTATCAAAAAGTGCAGCACCTGACAGGCATCGGACGAGACTGCAGGGCGCCCAGGGTACCTTCAGCTAGGCACAAATCGGTTTGGCACTACATTTCTTATTTTACTTCTTAATTTAATTATTTGGAAGACATAAATTTAAGATGAAAACTGGGAAAAAACTGGTTGAAAATGCTAAGCTGTATTTTCCAGTTCTGTGGGAGCTTAAAAAGCTCTAAGCCAAAACTCAGTACTTCATGAGTGATAAGAACATCTCAAGTAACAGAACTATTGTTTCCACTCAAGAAATGTGTCTCTCCAACGGAATATTACGTAGCCATAAAGAAGGGTAAATGTACGGACTTCGCAGCAACTTGGATGGATTTAGAGTCTATATGATCTATCATAGAAGCAAAGAACTGAGTTCTCACTCATAAGTGGACCCTGAATATTTACCATAATACTATTTTAAAAAGATTGCGAGTAGCAGGACACTGCCAGGAGAGGGAAGGGGGGCACATAACATCAGTAAGGGTACTTGATCTCAAACCAGGTGAAGTGGGGACCAAATCCTGAATTGTACCCTACATCTTTAAAGAAAGGGGAAAAAAAAGAAACTTGTATTTCGTCTGAAGAGACTCTAATGTCCAAACTACAAAAATAAAAATGCATGTACAATTGCATCTCATTCAAATGTAATTTCCAAACTGCTGATGGCAACAGATAAAAATGGAAACATTCAAATTGTGTAACAGTTCTTTCTTTTTGAGACAGGGTTTCACTCTATCACCCAGGCTAGAGTGCAACCGCACGATCATAGCTCACTGTGGCCACAAACTCTTGGGCTCAAGAAAGCCTCCCAAATACTGGGACTACAAGGTACATGCCACCATACCTGGCTAATTTTTTTGTGGAGTTAGGGTCTCACTATGTTGCCCAAGCTGGTCTTGAACTCCTGGGCTCAAGTCATCCTCCCACCTTGGCCTCCCAAAGTGTGGAGATTACAGGCATGAGCCACTGTGTTCTGCCCATTCTGGCTACTGAACGAGACGAACATGGTAACTCCATGACTCACGAAGAGTGGCACATCCCACTCAGTGCATGCCATCCAGTTAAATCATGCCAGCAGCCAGCTACATCCACACCATCTGCCTTTCTTCCAGGTGGCTCAGAGGCTTCAACCAGAAGGGGACACTTGTCACTTATCCCTCCTCTGGCCCAGAGGTAACAGGGCTCCATCTCCCCTTAGCAAAAAGATCAGATGGGGTCAACAGAGTGCAAGATGTGAAGTTTAGGACTGATGCCAGTGGGGTCCCCTGACAGCACTGGCTTGAAGGGGTGTGAATGCCCAGTCCTGCCACACGGGCTGAGACGATTCCTGTGGGCTCTTACTCGATGTCTTAGAAGCTTCCTCTTTAGTCACTGGGATGTTTTAAAGGGGTTCTTGTTTCTGGAGCTATGTTTGGAACACTTCCCAATGAAGTATCAGGAGAGCTAGGAGATACTGTAAAATAATCCACGAGGTGGGGGGCACGAGAAAAAGAGTGGCTGTGACATGATATTTGTCCATGACAAAAAGGTCAAACAAACCCAAAACAGCTGCAAAGCAATGGCTCTTGAGAAGCTGGGAGACACTCACCCTGCTGACAAGCTTTGGGATATTTGATGTAAGACACGGATTTTGTGCACAAGGACCAGACGGTTACCCGCAGCTGTGGGGAAAAGGGAAAGAGAAACAGCGTGTCTTGGCATATCTAGAAAGACCCTCGCAAATGCTAAACCAGATCACAGTACCCAGACACAAGAACTGCTGTGGAGGCAAAACTGTCCAGACATCCTGAGATAGCTTCCCTCTTGATGAGTAAGCTCAAATGCATATTTACTGTTGCTAAGGTAAACTTAGTGTTTTTGTGTGGTTTTTAAAATTTTATAACAGTATTATTTGCAAGACACACAGCTGAATTTATGTGCATTAGAGCCAGCTATTTCAAGCTAATTTCATGGTGCATATCCTAACAAGCCTGAGGAAGTTCTTCGGCAGAGACAAGTCTCTATATGGAAAACCACAGCGTTCAGGCCCTTCTAGGGGGACAGGCTCTCTGTGACTCCTCCGGAACCTCCTGCAGTAGACCTGTGCCCATGGCCCAAGATAGGAGGGTGGCCGCTCAGCACCGAGAAGGCAAGCCTGACTCCTGCGTGTGGTGCAGAAGGTTCTGGACTCTCTGCTGTTGGTGTGTTTGCCATCTGTCCTCTCTGCTTCCTTACTGGGGAGCTGGGAGCTGACCAAGGGCAGCCAGAATGGATACTGTCCTAGCAAGGGACCAGCAAGGGGGAGCTGGGGGGGAGACACCCCTGCCGTGGGAGGGGCCTGACACCGGGCTGTGTTGAGAACTTCAGAGCTCACACACCTCACCTGCACCTCACCTCATCTGTGCATCACCAACACCTGCACCCCATTATACCTCACCTGTACCTTGTCTCACCAGCACCCCCCCCTCCCCGCACCTCGCCTCCACCTCTCTGCCCCAACACCACACCGCACCCCATCTCCCCAGCAGCTGCGTTTTCTGTGGAGGACCCGAGGATGCTCTCCTGCCCTGCGCACTGGTGAGTCTGGGAGTGAACCGACACATGGCCCAACCCAGCTCAGGTGGTCGTGGAAGCACACGGCCACGTGGGCCAGGGGGCGTGGGTGGCGGGGTGGGGGCACTGACCATCTGCAGGTGGCGTCTACCTCCACCCAGGTTAAGTGTCCACACCCAAATGTCCTGAAATGCCACGTGTTTCAGCTGGGAGATTCAAATACAAGTCCTTTCCATTTCTCCCCCTCGTCTACACACAAAAGACAAGACAACCTGATGTCTGTCACCGTGTCCCTGAACATCACACACGTGTCCAGGAGAGGGGTGCTGGACATGCGTGTGTGAGTGCAGGGCCTCCATGTTGACCCTGAGCTTGAACACACCTCGGCCCCACTGAGACCGGGAGGGCACCGTGGCCAGAGCCAGGAAGCACACCCCTCCATCCAGAAGACCTGATCTGGGGACCTGGCCTGGGACGGTCATCAGTATGGTCTAGCATGATGAAGGCCTGGCCCTAAGCTAGTTCAGAATCACACTTAGAACTCACAACTTAGGAGAAAAGCAGCTTGGGAAAAATACAACAACAGTTTGTAGGCCAATAAGGAAAAACAAGGTAGTTAAACACGGGCCTCTACCAACTCTCTTAACTTCCATGAACTGGAGACACAAGCCCCTCAGGGGGATGGCAGGCCTTGGCAAGGACACCAGCTCTGACCATGGGAACACACAGCTGGACCCAGGGTGCTCGGCATCAGTGGATCCACACAACTTGGGCGCTGCAAACCTGGCACGAGGCCACAGGAAGGAAGCCCGACACAAACACCACAGCTCACAGGGCTCCCAAGGGAAGGCTGGGAGCAGAACTGCAGGGCAGAAGCAGGCAGATGATACCTGAGTGGAGACAGGGACCTACCACCAGGAGGAACCCGTGCGGTGGGGTAGATGTTCACCTCAACGGTGGCAGTAATCCCACTGAAGTGTACACTCAGAGTGGGTGGGTTTCATTGCGTGTAAATTGTTTTAATTGCCTTTATTCAGATATAAGAAGTTTTCAGTCTGGATGTATTTTTTATGCAAACTGTAGGCAATTTACAACACATACACCAAAACTTAAGCACACAGAAAGGCTGAACATAAAAGGACAGAAAAAGGCAAGCCCTACGAGAAGGGAAGACCTGCTGTGTTAGTATCTGACAAAACAGACTTTAAGGCCAAAAGAACTAAACAAAGAACTAAACAAAGTCTGACAAAACAGACTTTAAGGCCAAAAGAACTAAAGCAATTGTGAAGCAAAAGAACTTCACAATTAAGGGCTCCCCTCAACATGAGAATCGTGAAACCTGTTTCACCATGGAAACTGTTTGGAAACAATTCTAAATGTGTACGTAGATAATAACAGCCTCAAAAGTACTTTTATAAATACAGCAAAGTTGGGCATAGTGGCTCACCCCTATAATTCCAGCTACTTGGGAGGTAGAGGCAAGAGAACTGCTTGAGCCTAGGAGTTCGAGACCAACTTGGGCAACAGAGCGAGATCCTGTCTCAAAAAAAAAAAAAAGGAAAAAAAATCTGACAGACAATGAAGAAGAATTAGTTCTATCAGATATTAAAACATACTATAAAACCACAATAATGCAGACAGTGTGGTATTAGCACATCAAATAGACCAACAATGGAACTGAACGGAAAATCAGAACTGAAGATGCAGGTATAAAGGGGTTTAGGTGATACAGGGGGCAAAGACAGACTTCTAAACAGATGCTGCTGGGAGCAGGTAGAATGATTTGTTCCCCACACTACATGCCATAGGCAACTCCACGAGAACCTGAGCCACACTTAAATCAAGCACACGTGTGTGTATAACACAAAGTAGAGAAGGTCAACCTCACCAGCAACGAGGGAAGTGAAAGTGAAGACACAAGGCAATGCCATTAGTTCTCCTGGACGCAGTCATTCTCCGTCTTGACACGACCCCGGAAGGTTGACATTCACCCCCACGGACAAGCATGAGGACATGTGGACATGTAAGCAGCAGACCGGCCAACACACCCACCACACTGTGTTTCATAACAACACACATCCAGCAAGAGAAGAGAAAGCCAAACCACTGGCCTGACAAGGAACCCAAGACCTAGATATGCCCGTGTGCAAAGTGTGTGTCCCCTTAAGGAAACATTAAACTGCAAGCCAGACATTCCAGTGTTCACACACATGTATACGGTAGGGCCCTCAAGAAAAGTGCAGAGCTGATTAAGGCAAAACCCGGGAGGCCAGGCCCCCTGGGAAGGGCAAGCTATGTGAGGGCAGATGAACTCAGGAGGCTGGCGCTGTCCTATCCTCAGCCTGATGGCGAACTGCTTTATCACTTGCTGAACCCTGTCGAGAGGACACAAGCTTTCCTTTTCCTGTCGATGTGCAGGAGGCAGGGACTTCTTGGGTCCTCCACGGTACCCCCTACGGGGCCATGCACATGGAGAGGCACCCGCTGACCTGGAATCCTCAGAGAGCTTGCAACTGATCCTCACTCCAGTGATGGTGACACTGATGGGGGACAGGCGCCAACAGGTCATTTCAGCCAGCAAGTGTACGTGGAATCCTGACATGCCTCCTCACTTGAGGTTATTTAAGTTGGTTCAAAAAGCTGGAGCTATCTCAGTATCTTGCTTGGGACGGTCAGGCTTGAAGTTGCTGGTTTTCTTCTACCACCTAATCTTACTGTTCATGCTAAGGCCACCAGCAAAGTTGTCATGACCCGTCTTAGGTCGAGCCATGCCATCTAAGTACACCCTATACAAAGTCAACTATTCTGTAGCAAAGGTATGGTACTTGTGGTAAATATTGGTATTGCTGGGCACAATGGCTCACGCTTGTAATCCCAGCACTTTGGGAGGCCGAGGTGAGAGGATTGCCTGAGCCCAGGAATTTGAGACCAGCCTGGGCAGCATAATGAGACCTCATCTCTACAAAAAAAATTTTTTAAAAATTAGCTGGGCATGGTGGCGTGTGCCTGTAGTCCCAGCTACTCAGGAGGCTGAGGCCAAAGGATCACCTGAATCCAAGAGGTCGAGGCTGTGGTGAGCTGTGATCATGCCACTGCACTCCAGCTGGGGTGACAGTGATAGTCTCACTCCAAAAAAAAAAGGTATGCGTGTCATGTGGAATGCTAATAGAACAAGTTCCACCTGTCGAGGTTTATCAACTCTGCAGATGGTAACCTTCCTTCTGAGTCACTCAGCAAGAGCAGAGACCACTCCTGCCACGAGCCCATCTTGAGGACAGATCTGGGACCAAAGAATGACAAGCATGAAGACTGCTAGGCAAGGGTGCATGAAAAGCACAAACCACCCACTCCAAAAGGCCCAGGCTGTGCTGACCTCCAAATGCCAATGTCCTCAGTGCAGGGAAACAACGGGGCCTTCGCTCCCCCCACTCCCTCACAGCCCAGGACAGCAGGCATTAAAGCATCTTTAAAATGGCAACCAGACACGTGTGAAGCCACATGGCTATCTGAAGCAGCTGATTTAGTGACCTCACAGGTGGACAGAAACTTTGTACCAGCTGATGCCCACGTGAACAGCTACATGAAACCTCGGGCTTGCATGAAACCCTGGGCCTGCAGTCCCGTGGCTGGGAATAAACACCCCATGTGTGTATTCCACATGGGGAACAACCTTCCTGGAGCTGGTATAGGAAGGTAACTGCGATGCAAGCCAGCAGCCCAGACAGTGAGGAATACTCCAGAGGGTTAGAACGTTCCACCAGAAATGCGCCTCACTGAAGGGATCCATGCATCTTTCTCTATCTTAAAAATAAACCTGACACCAAAGACCCTGTACCTAACACCTCATGGGCATCTGATTTCATAACTCTGATTTATCCTGGGATTTCATGCATCCCCCTCACTGGGCTCAGCACAGAGCCTGGCGCAGTGGGCACAAACCAGACACCAGATGGGGGAGCCAGCGATGCGCTCCCTTGCCCCATGGACCGGCGCCTTCAATGAAAGATGTAAGCCAGTTTGTATTAAAGCTCCATTTCTATTGCTGAATGAAAGAGACTGCTTAAAATCCTTAAACATGTAAATCAAGATTTTAAAATCCTGCTGGGTGCAGTGGCTCATGCCTATAATCCCAGCACTTTGGAGAGGACTGCCTGAACTCAGGGGTTCAAGACCAGACTGAGCAACAGGGTGAGACTTTGTCTGTACAATAAATCAAAAAATTAACTGGGCATGGTGGCACATGCCTGAGGTTCCAGCTACCTGGAAGGCTGAGGCAGAAGGATTGCCTGAGCCCAGCAGGTCAAGGCTGCAGTGGCCATGAGCATGCCACAGCACTCCAGAGCCTGGGTGACAGAGTGAGACTCCAACTCAAAAATAAAAAAAAAAAGATTTAAAAATCTGTTTTATTTCTCTTTAAAACTAGACCAAAAGAAGATATAACAATGACAAGCTTATGACACTCTGGCTTGAGCCATCCATGCTACTGCACCCACGCCAAGCCTGCTAGTCACCTAGGGTCTCCGCAAACAGATCTGCTCTTGGTACCCAGTGCTGTGTTCAAGTTACCTGTTTTACTTAAAAACAGCCCAAAGCGCAAGATGAGCAATGCTGGCAATTTGGATATGCCAAACAGAAGCCTCTGGTAAGAATCCATCTGTTTGTGAAGCTGTGAACTGTCCTGTTCGAGTCATTGCTGTTGATCTCTCATGTGTCTGGGTTATATGTTCCACCTGATCACAGGGAGGTGAGTGCAGGACACAGCCCAGTGCATACAGGGCTTGCTGCTCCCTGAGGCTTTGGGCTTCCACTGGGAGTTTCGCAATGTATTCCCAAGGATAAGGGGGACTATATTGTTCCCCACACCCCGTCTAACACTCCCAAGCGATTTCAGGAGGAGAGCACAGGTCCCATCTGGTGAACGCGGTGCACTCAGGGCTCACACTTACGTGGAATTCAGTGGTGTTGAGAACGTGGCGCCCATCTGGGCTCCAGCATGAGGTGACCAGTCCTGCAGAACCCTCGTCTATCCTGCAGTGCCATTCTGGCTGCTCTAGGGACCAAACCTAGACCCGCAGGAGAGAAACAAGCCATGGCAAACCAGTCAGCACACCATGACGCGTGCTCTCCAGAGACAGAACTTGCTTATAACCAACTAGGTATCAACTGCACGGGCTCACAAACAGGATGTCTTTAAAAATCTTTTATAATGGCCCAGGGTAGTGGCTCATGCCTGTGATCCCAGCATTTTGGGAGGCTGAGGCAGGAGGACTACTTGAGCCCAGGAGTTCTAGACCAGTCTAGACAACATAGCAAAACCCTGTCTCTACAAAAAAAAAATTTTTTTTTTAATTAGCTGAACATGGTGGTGCGCACCTGTAGTCCCAACTATTTGGGAGGCTGAGGAAGGAGGATCACTTGAGCCCAGGAAATCAAGGCTGTGATGAGTCATGCATGATGATGCCACTGCACTCCAGCCTGGGCAACAAAATGAGACTCCAACTCAAAAATATATATATATTTCATGATGGACTTGGTGCTAGAGTCCACCATAAAGCAGCACATTCTTTGGTGATTTCACTCTATTGCAGTTTTGAAACGGTATATACACGTTACCATTCCTAAGGCTTCATTTAGTTAAACTTTGGGTGATAAGAAAACATCACCTCTTAGGACTTTCAAAAACACGTGGTGTCCAAGTGGCCAGACTGCTGTCTGTAAATACCCCGTTTCTGAATTACGTTTGCTTAGAGACTAAATATGTTAGTGTCCCCTCACTTTAAAAATACTTAGATTAGGCCGGGCTCGGTGGCTCAGCCTGTAATCCCAGTACTTTGGGAGGCCGAGGCGAGAGGACTGCCTGAGCCTGAGGGTTCTAGACCCACCTGGGCAACTTGGCGAGACCTCATCTCTACAACAAATCAAAAACTAGCCGGGCGTGGAAGCGCACGCCTGTAGTTCCAGCTACTTGGAAGGCTGAGGCAGAAGGATCGCCGGAGCCCAGCAGGTCGAGGCTGTGGTGGTCAGGAGCGTGCCACTGCACTCCAGCGTGGGCGACAGAGTGAGACTCCGACTCAAAAAAAAGCAAAACTTAGATTAAACCATTAGAGACTATCATGATTTTAAAGGAAGGCTGACTTTGGGCTGTGCTGCCTTTTTTCATACCAAAAGGGCACAAAACCAAACCACATCTTCTGGTGGTCTTCCTGGGAAGGTCCCCCACCCCAGCCCGTGCAGGACACATACCTGCACAAGCCCTCGCTTGTACATAGCACACAGGATGAAAAGCGAGTCGGCCGACCACTCCATGTGCTGGACCTGGTCCAGGCATGTGTACAGCTGGAGGATTTGAAGGGTCTGCGTGTCCCGGACCACCAGCCGGTACTGGACACAGGATGCCTGAAACACAGGGAAGAGGACAGGAGCTGTCAGCACACGAGCACCCGCCTTCAGTAACCCTGTGCCCTCTCCTGCCAGATGCATTTTGTATCGAGGTCACCAGCTACGCTGCCCACTCCCAAGAGAAGAAAAGTCAATAAAAAGATAAACTGAAATAAACAAACAAGGTTATAAAATTGTCATACTCTAGTATAAAGTATTAGCATATTTTGAAACTCTTTACCTAAAGCTTTAAAGTGTGTTCTATTCCTATCTTAACTGTATGCTAAAAAGTACACTTAAATGGGAAACAGCACTGGGAAAAAGCTCTTACAAAGGGGCCCCCCCCCAAAAAAACAATTCTCTCTTGGAGGGCAGGCCCCTTGCAGCATACACGGAATTTGTTCCTCCAGATCAGTCAACCAAAGCTTTTATCTGGAAGTTTTGAGAAGGTAGCGTCACAATTTGCGAAAGAAATGTTTGAGTTGTGGAAAATGGGTGACATTTTTCCGCCATGACAACAATGTACCTGCCCATACCGCGTGTCCCACCTTCCCTCTTCACCTGATCTCACCCAAGTGATTTTTGTTTCCCCAAGTGAAAAAAGGCCTCAAAGGGAAACCTTTGGCCAATGTGGAAGAGGTGAAACAAAAAATGGCAGAAGCGCTAAAAGGCATCAAAATGGACAAGTTCAAAAATTGTTTTAAGCGGTGGAAAAAGCATCTTGATTGGTGTATTGCATCAAGCAGAGAGTACTTTGAAGGTGACTTAAGTCTAAACATGTAAGAATAAATACACAATTTTTATAAATAAATTCCAGGGGTTTTTTTGATCCCCCCTCATATACAAACCAATAATCACATCCTCTCCTAGTGTGATCGCTTTCAGACAATTGCATCTAATTTATAAAGGGCAGATCAAGGCCTCACACTTGAGAATGACTATAAAAGCAACAATACTCTTTGATGCGGTGCTGGCACTGACGCCACACGTAAGGATGCGTCATAAATGCTCACTTATCTACATTTGCCTGCTCCTAATACTAAATACTAAATATAAAAAGTCTAAGTGACAGTCTTTTCTTAGTTTCTTCGTGTCCACATTTGTTCATTATATTCATATCTAAGCAAATAATTTTGAGTATAAATGTGAGTACTCACCTGTTGATTGTATATAGCACTACAGTTTAAAAATCAACACATTTTATAAGCAAATTTCCTCATTTTTTTACTTACCAAGGTCATACTCAATGACCAGTTTGTGTTTTATGAACTTAAATCAAAAACGAAAGCCACATTAGTTTTCCATGGAAAAAGAGAGAGAGAGAGAGGGTGACTGCAGATTGGAACACCTATGAGGGTACTGATTTTTCCACACTGTAGCTTTGAAAACTGAACAGTTACAATGAATTCCTTAAGAAATTGAATGATTTTACCAATTCTGGGGAAAATTGCCTGTAAGATGTTAAAACTGAAAACACGGACCTGCTCTACTCAGTATTTAGGGCAGGGCTTTCAAGAACACGATTCCAGGTTATTATAAAGTGTTTCGTAATATTTTGACCAGCACACAAATCAAAAAAGCACCAATATTAGGCAAGCAATATAATCTTTCTCTTTATAATTCACTGACATCGTTATAAATAGTAAAAACAAATACGAAACCCTAACCTGCAGGGGGAGCACTTTTAAAAATATGTCAAGGCTTTGGGGGTACCATTTATGCTGCAGCGTTTCCTATTTTGTAGCTGAATGCTATTTCATGTGATGTGGAATAATGGCTCTGTGAAGAAGGAACACATGGAACCTGAGCGTTCTCTCCCCAAAGGCCTGGACAGAGAGAACAGGCATGTTCATCAAGGCTCAAAGTGAAGCAGAATCAGAGGCCTTGGTTAACAGAGGATGTGGGTAAGTTCTCAGTGGCTTTCCACTACTAGTTATCCCCCCTCAAGGATATACATTGGCCGGGAGTGGTGGTTCATGCCTATAATCCCAGCACTTTGGGAGGCCAAGGCAAGAGGATTGCCTGAGTCCACGGGTTCGAGACCAGCTTGGGCAACTTGGGGGAAACCTCATCTCTACAACAAAAAAATTAGCCAGGCGTGGTGGAGCACGCCTGTAGGTCCAGCTACTTGGAAAGCCGAGGCAGAAGGATCGCCTGAGCCCATCAGGTCGAGGCTGTGGTGGCCACTGCACTCCAGCCTGAGCGACAGAGTGAGAATGACTCAAAAAACAAACAAAAGTATATACACTGGCCGTATCGGCATATTTTAAAACTTAAAAGTTGTCACTCGGTGATTCAACACCATTCTGCCACCCATGGAATGAGCAGCTCAAATTCCAGCCTGGAGGACGACGTCCGCCTTCGACCGCTGAAAACCAGGCGCCGGGAGGCTGGCGCCTGCCCCGGCCCCGCATGGACCTGGGGCGCCTGCCCGGGTCCCGCACCCGCAGGACCCCGAGAAGCTGCCCCACCTCTCGACCCCGGGTAGTCACCCATCCCGGACCCCGCCC